TCCACCCATCACTGAGGCCAATCAGCCTAAGACCACCAGAAACAAGCTTGCCATCCAACAAAACTAAGTTTGGACCCATTCAGTGAGAGAGAGCAGGTTTTACATAAAAGCAGGTTTTGACAAGCTCAAAGCAAAGCAGGTTTTGTATAAAACGGTCAGCTTCAGATCTGGATTACAAAGTGGGCCCAAGGCCCTGTTTCCTTGGAAGCGATAAAGCTAAGATAGCTGTCGATGTCGTGTCCAGGAGTCCTTGATCTGACGCTCTGCACCTGAAGTGCACACAGACTGCTTCTCCATGGCAAGGTGACTTAGAGCCTCCAGGCGAAGCGGAGTCTTTCATTTTTACTGATGCAGTTTCAAACAGCAACATTTCTGATAGTCTGATTTTAGAGGGTGACATTTCTCAGGGAGTAAGACAGCAGGAGTCACTTACTCAAAGATGGGAGGCATTGTCACTTTACAGCTCCGGAGAAATGTTTCTTATTTTTGCATAAGAAACTCACTTTGTCCATTTCTGCTCTCCCAGCTTGCTAAGTGGCCCCAGCTTGCTAAGTGGCCCGGCTGGTTTTTACTTTTCCATTCTGAGCTAAATGTTACTCCCTCACCCAGGTGAGCTGCCTCAGGCGCTCCCTTACCTTCTGGTTCCGCGAGGGTGAATTTTCCTGGCTTCTCTCCTCCCAACTGCGCATGGCAGGGCTTCCGGGCACCGTTCCCTCCTTGCCCCTCAGGCCTAGGGGTGGTAAGGGCTCCCTGCTGTTGCCAGCCCCACGTGACTCACCACCCCTTATGGATTTCTCTTGACTCTGCTGACACCTTTATAAATGCCCCCTCCCTCCATTAGTTACCCTATTGGCGTTTGCCATCACTTTTTGCTGGGACTCTGAATATACAGACATCTTCACCTGTAAAAAGAGGAAGTCCACAGGGCTCTCGTTAGGGCAGTAAAGCCTGATGGTTAGAACACATGCACTGAGGGACTAGCTGCCTGACTTCCAACGCTGGTGTCACACCTTACCACCTTTGTGATGTTGGACAATGCTGTTTATGGTATTCATTCATTCATTCATTCATTCATTCATTCCCAAGAGCACCAACCACCAGCAGATATAGCAGGGAACAGGCAGACACCCCAGATATGTATCAACAGGTGAATGGATAAACAAAATGTGGCCTAGCCTTACAATGGGACATTATTCATAAAAAGGAATGAAGGACNAGTACAGTGTAGAGTAGCAGTGGTGAAAATACGCATCCTTGTTTTGTTCCTGACCTTCTGGGGGAAGCTTTCAGTCTCACCACGGAGGCTCAGCTTATTCTCGTAAGCACTGTGTTTCATTGACTCTCCACTCTCCTCTCTCATGTTGCCGGGTACATACTTGCACAAGAATCTAGTTCACACCTGAAGATAAATTTCTAGATGCAGTCTTTTGATCTCAAACTGCAAAATGTTGACTCATTCCATGCTCCCACCAGCAAAGCAAGAGTGCATGCACCATTTTTTTAGAGGGCCTTGACAAACAAGAGAGTGGTTGTATGGGACTGGACACAGTGTTGGAGACACATGGCTGGAGGGATTGGGGCTACTGTTTTGAAGAAGAGGAGAAATACTATAGCCAGGTATAGCCATTTGAAGAGGGTCAAGTCGAAGAGGGAACCACAGGGCAGAGCTCTAACCAAAGGGGAAAATTGCAGGGAGATAGATTTTGGCTCAATGTAAAAAGAAATGTCTAACCATTAGAGCAGTCCCAGAAGAGAACAAGCTTTCCTTGTGCTTGCTAGTGGCTGACAGTGATGATGATAATTTTCATTTCTCTTATCATTGCTCTCCCCCCCTTCCCCTCTCCATCTGCATTTCAATATCATTTCCCACCTTAAAAATAAACCCTCCCTGGACTCCACATTCTTCTTCTTCTTCTACCACTTGATGCCTCTCTTCTCCTTTGTAGCCAAGTCCCTTGAAAGAGTGAGTCACCACATCCATTTCCGCATCTCCTTTCACTCCTCCGCCTAAGCCAGTCTGGCTCCCGCCTGCACCACTCTTCTAAAGCCTATCTTGCCACGTAAACAACTTCCTCTTCACTAAATCCTATAGACACCCACAGACCTGATCTTCCTGGAACGCTCAGGAGCATTTGACATCAGTGATCATGCACAACGTCCTTCCCCTTTTTTCCTGATTTTCTTTGGATCTGTCTGGCCACCCTTCTGAGAATCCTTTGGGGACTTCTGTGCTCCCCGTCACTTAATGGTTAGCATTCCTCAGGGGTCTGTTCTAAGCCCTCTTGCCTTCTCATCTACACCTTCTCTTGCTGGTCAGTTGCAGCTACTTCCATGGTTCTAGGTACCATCTATATGCCGATGATATATAAATGTATATCTCTGGCCCCAGTTTCATATATCCAACCACCCACTACGGACCTACATTTGTAAGTCCCATAGATAGGTCAAACTCAGTGCCTTCAGTTCTGAACCCATCTTCCATTCCAAATGGGCTTTTTATCCCACATTTCCTATCCCATTAAGTTCTTCCACCACTACCCATCAGTTGCGCAAGCCAGAAACATGGCACACTCTTTTATTCATCCTTTCTGTCATTCCCCCACATCCATTCTATTGCGTTATCTTCCTAATGTTATTCAAGTCCGTCAACTTCTTGCCTTTACCACTGTCACCTCCTCAGTCCAGGTCACCATCAACTCTCACTCAGATCACCCAATAGCCTCCAGCATGGTCTCCCT